AAACTTATCAAATATCGTATAAACCACACACTGGCACTATTAAAATTAATTAATCATGTACTCTCATCCTCGCGAAAAGATGGATGGGTTTTATCAGTGACTTATCTGCTCGCTACATGGTCATCATATGGATGGACACCAAGCAACCTTATAAATTTCTGGTGGCATGTAGTATAACCAGTCATCAAACTACATGCCCTGTTGTCGAGTTGGCTCAAACCACACTTTGAGTACAGTAATATATGCACGGCTAATAATAAAATATTCTAACCTCATCTTCCTCGATGACGTAATTTGGAGTGGTTTCTTCATTGTTAAATACTTTCACGTAATTCTCATTAGATATACAAACAGCCAAAATAAATATGTATACAGCTTGCACTTAACGAATTGAATTTACCAAGTCACTCCTGTACACATAAATTGCGTACCTATTAATTACTGCCAAAAAATATTAAGACTCTGAGCTGCTGCACCTCCGAGAAGTAGACGAACCGAACTGGCAGCCGTTCAAATGAAGATCCTGAAGAAATCTTGCTTTGCATGACAATTTGTAGATCAATGAAATTCAATCAGCCTAAAACGGCAGGGTCCATCGAGAGACTAACCGATTTTCTCAATTATCTCGATGATTATGCTAGCGAGCGTTTCTTCACAAATAATTATTCCTCGTCAGCATTTACTACAGATTGTTATTTATGGAGTAATAATTTTTAGGGCTAATTTCATAACATGGAACCATTGTCCTTGTCTGATTGATCCGTAGTAAATATTACCCCTCACGACGACACAATAATTTGCAACGAGTGGCATTGAGCACTAAATATATTTAACAAGGAGCGAGTGACATGGATTCCGAAATACCAGCAGAACAAAAGCACAGTTACATCTAATTACCCATTTTTTATAAATAGGTTTCAATAAGGTGTACGTATCGGGTTGGGATTAGCGATGGGTCTCTGCTAACGTCGCTGGGATGTATATTTATAATAGCAATTAACCTTAATTCAATCCTAAACAACAACAAAAAGATGACACTACCATTAGCTTACCTCCTGCCTTGTGCTTGTTCATCTGCAAGCCAGGCCACCTGCTAAAAGGAATGATACAGGAGGCAGTCTCAAATTAAAAAAAAGTGCAACAGATGCGTCTTCTTATTCAAATCGAGTCATAAAAACATCGGTGCACCGTACTCGTACATAAGTACCTCGCGTTTTATGTCGCCTGCCTGCTTCCCAAGTTGGTATTGGACCGATATTATTACGATATTACGATCAGTTCATGTTGTTGGATGGAACCGACAGAAGAAAAAACTTTCTTTGTAAAAATTGTCAAATTCATTGCCCGTAAAAGCCGACTACTACTTGACTCGATTGTGAAAGGAAATAACGGTTTTCCTTGACAGTGGACAACCCACCCAAACTAGGTATGATAACCGTTCGCGATAACCTCTTCCCCTCTCTTTCTTCCTTGCCTCCCTGTAATATAGGAGACTACTGCATATTTCATGATGGGCGATAAACATAACGGAACTCGTGTCATAAACTCAAGTGTCAATCGGAATTTCTTGTATGGCAAATAATTTAAATCAAACAATGATGCCTTCTGGATAGCGAGAAGAATGGTTCGACTCCATTGAAAAAAAGTAATAATCAGATCAAGTCATCATTTATATTATTGTAACCGTTTATTGTTCGTCCAAGTTTCTTGGAAAACTGCACGTCTTTTGCGGATGGCCTGCTTTGTGAATAAGTACAATGCGTATAAAGTAGACCAACATTTGGGAGTGACACCGTGATGATGAAGAACAAAACTGCGTGTGGCGCATTGGGTCAGAAATTGGATTGAGGAATACGTCAATAGTCTTAAAACATGTATTAAAGAAAGAGTGTGGTACAATTCAGCTCGTCATCTAGAGTCTGCTGAATTTCAGGCAGAGCACCGTGTTAAGAGGTTGACACGAACAAACTTCAAAATGCAACACTGCTACACCCATTAGCACCACCACCACTGAACAGATTATGGTGGTGTTCTACTCGAAAATAGCTAATAAGTTTCATAACAGTTATGTCAATACTTAACATTTGCCATGTCATTCATTCGCCTACTGAAGGAATTCACACCGTCAACCGTGGCTCTTGGCTTAATTATTTCCGGAGCCCTGATGAAACCAAGGCGTCTTTCAGCTCACGTGGTTACATACTGCTGTCTGCATACGTACATAAGTGAAGGAAACCCAAATTACAATTTATTTAGTGTCTTCTTGCGGTCCAACGTGGGCACCACTTATCTCGTTAACCAGATTTGATGTGATCTCAGTTGTTGTCATGTTTGCAAGTGATGCGAATTAATTTCCCCATTGTTTCAGCCTCCGTCTACTCAGAGTTCATCTGTGCAATAATAATGACGAAGGTCTGAGAACAAAAGCTTAAAACCTCAGCCCCCAGAGTTGATGCATTTGCTAACAACCATAAAAGCCAACGGAACAAATGGAATGTGAATGTGAAACTAAATCAAACCACAAACCAGCAGCAGAAGCATTAAGTGAACAAGATGAGACAACTAAACAACAACGGCCACCAAACAAAAGGAAGAAGAGCCAAATTAATCCCAAGAGCAAGAGCCACACAAAACGAGGAGACCACCATTTCGCTGAATGGATGAATAACTATACATCTACTAAATTTCATCCAGCAGGATGGCAAAATCCAAAAACTAAACCAATTACAACATCCATAAGTGAATTTGGGGGACTAGAATCTCACTGAATAAATGTTTACGTAGCTTTACCCCTGTTCCTCTAAAACCCTGTTCTAATAGACGGAATTTAGCATATGGAGTAGTAGCTCTGCCTATAAAATAAATAGGATGTTAAAAACAGGTGGACAGAAACAGAAACACTCATTTATTAAAGTAGAATAATTTTTTTTCAGACTTGCCAAAAAAATTAGCAAATACATTTTCATGTAAATTTAAATGCACCGTTTCAGCACAGAGACGACACAACACGACCACATCTCATTCATCATATAAACAATGCGCAATGTGACAAATAATTCTATCTTGAGTAAGCAAATAGAACACGAGACCAAATTCTTGAATGGTACACAAGCCTGGCTTTGAGTACAGGCAAGAAGATTTTGCAACAAGTGACATCTTCCAATCTATTATTCATTCTATAGCTTAGCGTCCTGATTTCAGGTGAAAAGACCATTCAGTCATTATTACATGGCTTATTTCGCTAATAAAAAAACGCTCTACTCGAGTACGTACGTGTATCTGTGGTCATAAAATGGTAAATAGATGATAGAAAGAATTTCCTATATAATGAAATAAGTAGTCAGTCGCCAATACATTGGTGTGGAGTGGAGAGCGAGAAAAGTACCAACATTTGTCCTTCGTGTTCAGAGACACTTAAAAGATCAAGCATGCAATTTGCAGTTTGTACAAAAAGTACAAAAATGAACATGTTTTTAGGTTTACTACTTTACTTTTTAAAATAAAGTGAAAAACGCTGGTGGACTTGTATTCGTACGTATATCCACTTTTCGTAACAAAGAAATAGTTTTAACATTTAACTCATCAAAGAAAACCTTGTTTGCCACCAACCACGACGACGACGACGACGAGTAAATCACAAAATGAGCCAGTATTGCAACAAGTTACGAAATCAAGAAAGCTGTTAAAAACTCTCCCCGGTCACTGGTTAGTTTTCATCCCTGTAAATCACTTTCCTGAAAGCCCTACCCCAAATCAAATAAAACTTTCTTGTCATCTCCTCAGATTCTAATATTTATGAAATCGTAAATAGAGGGAAAACGACCCTCGGAGTACGTGTGATCGGTTTCATAAGTTATTATTTTACATTTACTGTCCACCCAATTCGTTTGCATCCAAGGACATTACGAGATTTTATAACCATTTGTAATCTTATTCTCAAGTTCAGTCTTTTCCTGATTCTTTGACCTGATGTACATGTCGCCGTCTCAATTATACAAATATTTTATCTTACTTAATATGTACTTCTCAATTTTACCTTTTCTAATTGTATGAAAGGACAAAATACCGATATGATAACATAATGTGTCTCCTTACTTCTTATCAAATTATCCTAATTCAATTAACCTTCAAAATGTAATTTAACCAATGCTCAACCAATATTCTTTGCCACTCTTCTCAAGCTTACCTTACGAGCCACATCAGCCCAATTCATTTTAAGTTCTAACCATTTTTATGTATGACAAGGCTTGTTTTTTTTAAACTGAAGTAAAACACATTGAGCAAAATTAACTTAACAAGCTGTCCGAGAACTCTTAATTTCCTAAAAAGTCTGTCCTTCTCAAAACCACGCCATCATCATCACAAAATCTTCCATCCTCAAATCACACCCACATCAACGTGAATGCTCGTTCTTTGTGCATATCTTATGCGGCATAGAAGACGTCACCCCTTCTACGCATTATTATTATCAGGAGGATATTACCAAAATCATCCAAACTAGTTCTTGATGCTCCATGCCTTGCCTGCTACACAATTCATCCATCCATCCATCCACTACCCGCAACAGTTAAGGTCATAAATGGACGTGTTCATCTAACGTTTTAAATATTTATCACCATCTGCGACCAATTTAAGCTGACAGCCGCAATGGTTTGAAAAGTGAACATTTGCATAAAAATCAGAATATTGCACAACCCGCAGTTCGCCCTGTGAGCAGTTACTAATTCGCCAAAGTGATTTAGAAATAAAAAAAAGTTATTCATACAAGCGGCTATTGCAGTTAGATATTAGAGTTCAAGGTACTTTTTGCAATTTGCAATCTGTGTAATACTCCTACCACCACATACATAGTCCAACCAGAGTCCTTTTTTGACAATGAATAAAATTAACGAGGAATTAAAATCACGCTTGTTTTTTTTTATGGGAATGATATCCACACCGAAATTAAACAATGAAGAGTAATTAGAGAACAATAAAAATTACTTTAACTTGATGCTTACCGACTGTTGAATCCCAGGACGTTTATTGTTATTGTTATTTGTGGCGCTATTGTTGGGATGTGGTTGCGTCGTTAGAGAGGAGACGTTTGAGGAAGCGGTAGATTCAAGGCTTGGGTGACCGGTGCTGTTTCCCCCTCCGGTCGTAGTCGTGGTCGAGGTCACGCTGACCGTATTTCTCCGACCCGCTGCTGTTCCCATCATCCCCATCGCGTGGATGGCGGAACGAGGAGCGGCGAGGACGGCGGAATTATTAGCATTTTGTGCTTGGTGGTGATAATGGCTTAAAGTCCACTCGGACTTTGATCGTTCACACAGCCTGTCATCACTCGAACACCGGTTCACATTCACACTTTTGCTAATAACTGAATCGTTATGATTATTATTTATGCTATTATTATTATTATTATTATTATTATTCCCCTCTGCGGATTTATTCTCTCTGCTGCGTTTCAAGCCCTCCAGGTCAATGTCTGTCATGTAGATGAGAGAATTGCTCCTATGGTCATGGATGTGGGGATGACGATGGTGATTGTGACTTGGGTAAACGTGGGGGTAGCGGGCATTGTTGTTCGCGGGGGGCAGGCCATGTTCGTGATCCTTCCATGGTGTCGTTGTCGTCGAGGAGGATTGATACAGACCGGGATTGGAGGGATACCGGTTGTTGTATTTTAGCAGATTCGTCGAACTTCTGTACTGCGGTAGGCCATCGTAGAGGCGATGATTATTGAGCAGGTTTTGTGACTGGTGATGATGTGGGGGAGAATAGTAATTATTGCTGTTCCGATTGCCTTTAATTGTCGCGGTGGTGGTGGCGGCGGCGGCGGCGGCGGTGGAATTGGCATTACTGGGATGAAATGGTGTTGCATTTGCATTATTGGCCAAGGTTTTATATCCGTAGTCGTAATTGCTCATTGTGAGAGTTGAAGGATTATGATGGTTTCCACCACTAATGGACTCTGAGTCTACGGACGTTGCGTTGGGGTAGTTCCAATTACTCTTACTTTTTACGATGAGCTGAGATTCAGTTTTTGACCGAACCAATGGTGGATGGTGGTTTGGGGCTATGGAATAAACAACGGGGAGTTCCGCTCCCCTCTTGGAAACAATAATATTATTGTTATTGTTGTTGGCACCGTTACTACTGTGGGGATTTTCATTAGCATGAACTGTAGCTGCCGTGAAGACTGACATGGATGCGGCTATTGTTGTGGCGAGTTTTGATTTCTGAGTGGTATCAGCAGCACTGCTATTGCTGTCACCATTGTTCATCATTTGACTCTGATTTTTATTCAGCAGATTGGAACTTGATTTATTTGTTTGCCGAACTGTAGCAGTCGAGACGGAGATATTTCCTCGACCACTTTGTGGCTGTTTGTAGCTCGTCGTGGAAGAGGTTAAGGTGGATGAGGAAGATGACGAGGAATATTGACGCTTTGGGTTCGCATTACTACCACCATTGTTGGCATTATTCGTCTGGCTTTGATTGGCATTTCGATTCGAAGGAGTTGCTGTAAAAGAGTTTGAGTTATTTCCATCTGTCAGGGCCCCAGCTACCACCACAGACTTGTTCATAGTTTCCATGTAAAGCTCGTGATTACTATTAGTGCTACTATTATTGGACTTGTTGTTAGTTACGTGTGCAGCGGCTCGTTGCTGCTTTTGGGGCATAACAGTCTGTTGTCGATGATCCGTCAAAATGTCGTAGAGGAATGTGCGTGGCGGCTTATCCGGCGGTAGGCCCTTGGTGGAAGGTGTACTATTCATGGACCTGCAACTTGCACTCTCACTGCTGCTATTTGGATCGACGCCACCGGTCGACATTTTCATCTTAATCTCTTGGGACTGACCTTGACCCTGACTACTGCTCCCAATCTCTTCATAGGACAAATGTTTTGGTTGAAGGAAAGAATATCCGGAGTCAGAACCAGGTAATCCGATGTGGTGTTGTTGTTGGTCCTTGCTCCCTACGGCTGAGGGTGGATAGTTTTGCGGAGGTGGAGGAATCTTTGGGGGTGAAATTGGTGTCTGTCTCAGCCCATTGTTGCGAAGTTGGGTGTTATTCCTCGTAATAATGGGGACTGCGTACTCTACCTCCTGTGGTGGCTTATTCCTCCCAGTTTGTGCAGACTGTAGAGACCCTTTTCGAATCTGGGTATAAATATCCGAAACTTGGTACGGGGTGACAATATTTACTGCCTTTGTAACTTGGGCAGTAGACGACGACTGGGTTTTTACATAAATTTGAGACGACGACTGACTTGGGCGAAGACAAACACTCGTAGCTCGTTGGGCAGGAATCCCTTTCTCATTATTGTTGAGATGGGAAATACTACCACTTCCACTCAGATCGCTATTATTACAGTTGGATGACCCAGTTTGATTACCTGACGACGACGTATCCAGCGACTTTACTCTCTCCAACACTAATTTTGCCTTTGAACGAGAGTCATTATTGGCAGCAGCAGCTTTAGCAGGGTTGTTATTACCATTTGGCGTGGTGGGGACAGACGAGGTGTCCTTCGCTCTGAAGGCATTGCTCCGTTTGACTTTCCCATAACCGGAACCGGACGAGGCGGAGGAAGAATTCGACGTCGGAGTGAGGGCTTGAGGTTGACAGTCAATTTCTTTCGTCACATCCCCAACCACACAGGTTGGATTGTTTATCAAATTGACACATGTAGAGCTGCTGCTGCTCGTTATGCTCAAATCGTCACCACCATTGCTCACATTTTTACTATTCGGGTGACAATCTTCCATTTCATCGATAAAGCCGTCATTGTCACACTGATGCAGATCAAGGACCATTGGTCTCCTCTTCAAAGAGGGAGGAATAATGCATGCTGGCGATGTCTTTGCCGATGCTTGATTTTGTCTCTGCTCGTTTGACTGATGCTGCTGTTGGAAATCGGTGGAGGAAAGGGTGATGGAATTGCTTACGTAAATACCATTCCGTCGAACATCTTCCACCACAATAGGAGAATTATTTGTCAGATTCGCAGCCACCTCAAGAATGTCGTTCTTCAGATTTGTAGAAGAGGGACGATGGTCAATCAGCTCGGCTGATTTATTACTGTTTTTCGTGGGAGACCTGAGAATTGATGAGGGGTACTTGTTAAGTGTGAGCCCTGTGGCATTCTCAACTTGTTCCGCCTTCTCATAGTTCTTCTGCTCAAACTGTTGACGAAGTGTTTGCACTTTATTGCTGTTGGCGTCCATCTGCAGAGAAAATACGAAATGGAAAATCAATCTTTATTGTCAAAGTAATTATCATCGGACTATAATATAGCGCAGGCAGAGTAACCAATATTATATGTATATTGTATACACAAGGTGTGTGCAAAGTGAATGTGTTAATGTCATAAATCATACAATAAATACACCGCAATCTTTACTTTTGCTCTGGTCGTAAGGTCACAAACTTATAGGCTTTGGAGAGGAATTAACACTAAAAGTTACCAAATTGTGTATAATAACGCTGTTCTGCAGTGGGAAGATGCAACCTCACGTGTGTCTGCGGATGTACATATTGGTCGATGATGCAAACATAAAGAGAAGAAAAAAAGTCGTGTTATTGCATTATCGTAGCAGCAGACGTGATATGTATGTAATGAACACGACGTTTTATGATAATCAAGGATGACAAACGCTGGGCCTTTAAATTATAGGGTATGCAACCTTTTTTTGAGGTATGTAAACTTACGCACATTTGCATTTCAATACAATAATAATGGCTGTGAAAAGTACCAAAAATTGTGTTTAATATTCTCAAGCTTACATAACTTAATTCGTAGTTTAAAACAATTACTGAGCTATTCGAGATACTCCAAATTCTGATGAATCGCATCATCTCGAGATTTCTCTCGTAGTCGTAAATTTTATTGTCAATGAGGTGAGTGAGAGGTAATGAACCCAGTCGTCGTGGTATGTAAGTACATATTTACATTATACTATTATCCACTCTGTAGTGATGAGTGTGTATGTACATATTTTGCTCTTTGGCTGGGCGAGAATGGAAAAATTATCCACAAGTAAATTTATTTTTTAACGTGCCGTTAACACAAGTTGTACCCTGGAGCTATATGTGCCTAAGTTGGACAAAGACATGGATACAAGGACAAGGCAGCAACAACAACTGGATAGATTTGTACCTCTGGCTGGCTGGAAAATAATGCTTAAAAAACTCTCACGCTCTCGTCAATAGTTCTTATCTATTTCTGACAGAGGTTATGATGAGACGTGGTCAGAATCAACTCGTAATTCAAAAGTAAGTACGTGATCACAACCTAAATCTCCATCACAATACGTATTCTCTCATTATTCGGATGGCTTGCACTGTTAGCATACATAGATTTCTGTGTCACTTAATAATTCTTTGTAAATTGTATTATATTCATTTCATAATTCAACATATGTTAATCCAAAGGGCATGACAGAAAGGAGATGTAGAAGATAAGGGCATATCAACGAAAGGTCAGTGAGTCTTCTTTTCTACAAATTGGAATGACAATCACTGACCTGAATGAAGAAATCATCAGCAGAAAATTACCCTTTGTGGTAATAAGGTTTCAAAAAAAACTGTTTCGATTTGTTCCTCCACACTGCTACCAAGCAAGCGTTGCAAAATCACCCAACTAAATTAGCACCATCTTCGCCGCTGCAGCCGCCGCCGCTGTCGCCGTCGTCGTAGGCAGGAGGCAGGAGGCGAAGACGCCCAAACAAACAATTTGTAAGTGAGGTGATAAACTAGATTACCGAGCTTCGCCACAATACTTATATGCACGATGATGCCACACAGCACAAGTAAATTTCAGACGTTTGATCACCATCCGTCAAACTCGTAACTTCACAACGTACATAATTTATCCGTATCGTGAGCATTTAGACTATTTGCAGAAGCAAGTGGAATGCACATGCATGACCGACTGGCGGAGGGCTGCCTGTACAAATGTAGGGATGGGTGATGAGCTCTTTTTGTTGGTATACATTTTCCTGATTAACCTCTTTCGTACTACTGATTTTTAAATAAAATTTCCCTTCGGTACGATTTTGATTTCATAATTATACCTGATAGCAACCAATTAAAATTTTCCACCAGTTTGCAATATTCGAGTTTTTGACGAAAAATACGAAAAAACCATTTTTTAACATTGGTCGGTATAGGGAAAATTCCAAAATTTTGGGTGAAAAATATCGAAAAAAATCCACTTTTCACCATCGAGTTTTCCACAAAATACCGAAGAAATATTCTTTTTTTACAGAAATTTTGGTGTCAAGGAAATTTCTGCAGTACACACATTTGTGTATTTCGTCGTCAACGGAAAAATAAAATACTACACAAATTTGTGTACTTCGCCGTGAACGGAAAATAAAATAACTACACAAATGTGTGTACTTCGCCGTTAAGAGGTTAACCAACATGACATAAAAGTTATGTGAAATATCTAGTCGCATATACGACGACGACGACGACCCACCGACCGGATTAGCTGCAGTAGCTTGCATACAACGAAGAACTCAAAAAATGAAGCTCCATTTCCGTTCCCACGTAATACCTTTTGCTTAACAAGCTGTCGTAATTACTTATCTCCGGACGCGGGGTATGTTTCTACCTAAAACAGAGGAATATTGGCAAGTCTATGTTATGGGAATTTGTATCATTTGAATTGATGAGAGATGTAGATTGCACATAATAAAAGGATTTTACTCGGCTGAGGTTGATGATGAGAGGAGTAACAAAAGACTGAGTAACAAACCCAACTTGATTTTGTAAATTATTAGTTCAAAGTTGCAATTTTACGACGAGTGTAATTTGAGGTTATCAAAAGTAGCATAAATAAAATAAAGTATGCACTTGACGATATGTAGATGATTTTAAGAATCATCGTTCATCCGGTGCAGCAATTTTTATATTATTACAACATTTATAAATACTATAATATTTATGCACAAAGACGATAATACGAAATTGTATTTGTTTTTCGTATCATGCAATTAGAATTAGGAAATCACTGCCTAATTAATTAGCATCAAGTCTATTTTACATCCGATCCTACTATAAAATACGCCATGTTCCCATTAGAAGTCATGAACGTAGAGTAGAACGTACGTAGTTCAACACTAATTTTTTTTGCTCCTCTAGTTTGCCGTGCTTCTCGATAAGAGAAAATACGCCAAAAAACAGATTGATTTATCAAACGCAGAGTCAATAATTCGCGACGGAGTGAGCTGCACGAATGTTTTAGAGTTTTCAAAGTTGATCCACTTTCACAAAAGCAAAATAAAACAAATTGCCTTTAAATTGACACCCGTGTCAAAATTTTTAATGAAAGAATTTAAAACAAACTTTCAGCTCATAAATATCAAGTTATATGAGGTTAGACATACATGTATTTAGCAGTTAATCTATTAAACTACTGGCTTATGTACATGGGCAGATTAATTTTAAAGCCTCTCTCTCTCTCTCTCTACTCTGTCTACAGAGCATAAATTTGTACACAAAAAAGACAAATTATCGCACACCGTAACAGCATGTTTAATTTTTTGGCTTAAATTAATTCCACTGTACGTATTTAGCATATGCGTAGGAAACATACGAACGAGCCCTGCATCATGAGACTGTTTTTGCTTCGTAAAAGTAATCAAATCCCAATTTAGGTTTTACTTTAACAACTTGTACGCAAATGCCTGTTGCATAAATGTCTAACCTCAGGAACCTGAGGAATTCAAGATTAGTAGCAGTTACACATGTATAAGAATAAATAACAAAAGAAGAACCACGTGAACTTATAAATACAAAAAGGTCTCCAACTTTTCAGTTCCAGAGTTATATAACCAACCACTTATTATTTACAAGGTTGTTGTTTGTTAGTGAGCAAGAAACGATCTCGTCTTGGAAAAAAACTAATTTATTTCGTCGCCATTGTTGCATTGTGGAAAATAAATGAAACTCGGCTCTGCTTCCACACCCACTTTTACACCTGCTGCTGCTGCTGCCAGATGATATAATACATTTAATTTTACTGACCTGTCCAAAAATCAGTTTAACCAAAGCACCACCAAACGCAGAGGATGGAAATGGGTGAGAAAGTGACAGATACTGAAAATTATTACGAGCCGAGGTGTATGCCCTTCACACGAACAAAAGGGCTGACTTCGCCTCCACCTTATTTTAATAATAGTGAAAATATAGAACAAAGCAGTTTTGCTCTTAAATCTGTCAAAAGTTGAGAGTATTATGCATGCTAAGTTCTTACCGTCCCCAGAACAGATTGCATCTCATTGAGCTACGATTATGCACATATGTACGTATCTTCCCATCGAAAGATAAGATCATCATCATCCATTTCAATTTTTACAAGGATACGAGAAGATTTAACCTCAAGGAAGAAGAGGGTCGCACACTCTAACTCATAATCCATCTTACTTTGCATTGCTTCATTTCAAAGGCTGAATTTTTTAATACATTTGATTTATTCATGTCACTCAGGACTCACTCCTCAGCCAGCCAGCCACTCACATGGCACAACCATGGAATTAGATATTGCTAGTTGCACTATACCACACAACCCACCAACGAGACTATTTCAATCAATTATTGAGAAGGTGAACTGAATACAAATTAGCTGACAAATCATCCATCGTACTAATAAATGATTTGATTGTGTGATAAGACATACTTTGACTTGATTCTGCTCGATGGAGCGAATGAACAGAGGCGAACAGAGGAGAGGTGAAGAGGTGATGTGACCAAGAAAGGACCAAAACAAGGGAAAGAACGACAACAGTGCAGTGACAATGAAATCTATGTACGGCACTCACCCAACAATAAACAGAGATCTATCTGTTAATAAAATGAAATAAGAGTTAAGTCATCCATAATTGTTCTTGGCAAGAAGGATGAATGTGCGCGAGGAATGTGCGATGGATGGATGGGACTCTCAAGCCGCACTCCGTCATACTTGCCACTTACGCGAATGGCAATAGCCTTCATCTTCAAATTCTCATCATAATCTTAATAAGTTCAAATCTGCAAAGATTATTTCTGCGTTAGGATTGATTACGAGTTTCTTTACGCTCTGTTGATTCTCGATTTGAAATGACGGTTTGATATGCGATAAGATCAGCATCATGCATGTACATCAGGAGATATGTACATATAGCAGGTGTCTGCTTATTAGTCTTACATACATACCCCATCTAAATATCATCCAGTGTGC